AAATACATAATTTTTATAGTTCTTAAGATAATTTCTAGTATTTGAGTAACTTTACCTAATAGAAAAAATATCGCCCGTTTTTAGGTAGGATTTTTCTGGAGAAAAATTGTTGATTTCAGGCTCTTTTGAAAAGCCTGGTATAAAATATTGCGGACATTTGTGAAAAAATAAATACTTGGTATTAATATTTTGTTTTTATGTTACCATGGTTACAAACTTATGCTTTTTTAAAGAATTCCATACAAGGGCAATAGGTATCTACAATCAGTTTCCATATAAATACCTGAGTATTTTAAAATGGATAAAAACCAAATTTAGCTATGTGGTACACAATAGCAAAAACAGAGAGAAAAATCAATTTTCATGACAAAAGGTCAAAGTTCAAGGTCAAAATGGCTAGATTTTTATGGAATTTTAAGGAAACTTAGCACATTTTTTTCTGTGTACAAACTAATAATTTTGTTTTAAACAGCATGAATAAACAAAATTACAGTTCTGGTGGACAATAACTACATGTAGCATCACATGAATTGGTAAATACGGACAGAAGGTCAAAGTTCAAGGTCGCAATGGTATATAAAAATTGCCTTTTTGTCCCCTGCTTTCACTGAATGTGGGGGATATTGATTTGGGTCTGACCGTCCATCCGTCCGTCAGTCTGTCTTTCTGTAACACTTTCGTTCGGCCCAATGTCTCGAGAAGCCTTTGAGCCCTTGCAATGAAATTTAGCGTAAAAATCCCTGTGGCCTAGGGAAAGACTCCCATTGATTTTAAGGTCAAGGGTCAAGGTCATGAATTCATAAATTCTGTCTGTCTAAACACTTTATTTCTGTGCGATATCTCGAGAAGCCTTCGAGCTTTTGCATTGAAATTTTAAACCACAACTTCCTATGAACTAAAGAAGACCCCTATTGATTTCGAGGTCAAAAGGTCAAAGGTCAATGTCAAAGATTTATACATTCTGTTTGTGTGTAAAACTTTCATTTCCGAGCGATATCTCTATTAAGAAGCTTTTGCAATAAAATTTTATATCACAACTCCCTATGGTCCCTCCCGCTCCTCTTAAAATGTCCCATCCCCCACCCCCACCACCCTCTAGATCCGTACATGCTTTTCTTTTTTTCTTAAGCAGGGGACACAGAGCTATAGCTTGTTAGCATAGCATTTATACTTGGATATTGTTAAAGCGTATGTTTTATACCCAATTTATTTTACTGAAACTGGTAAATAAATAACATTCTCCCCTTTAGCTTGATGCATAATGTGAAAATGCTGTGAGAATGTTTTTAAGGTCATTTATTGATAAAATCGTAGTAAAGTCAAAATATTGAAAGCCTATACACCTACCATATTGAGTGACTGGTACATGTATGCAGAGAATTGTGCATTGTATTGTGAATTGTGCATTGTGCATTGTGAATTGTAAAATGTACATTTTTGGCCCTATTCAACAGCCTACACTTTTCCAGTGACAGTCAAATTATGTTTTCCTCTGACTTTTTTCAAAGAAGTTGACAAAAAAAGTCTAAATCCATTTTACTTTGCAATATTATTCTAAAAAACTTGAAAATTTAGAGACACTGATGATAAATATTTCAACCCAAATATGCATGGGTTTACACATAATAGATCCGCTATTTCCAAAAATTTAATCAATAATAATCTTTTGTAAAAATCTGCTGGACCTGTTCCGATAATCTGTTTTTGTGCTTTCTTGAATTTATGTCGGTTGCTAAATTTGAGCTGGCTGGTTACCTTGATGGGATCGTACAGCTTATGGCGTGTAATGTAAACAATTTCTAAAGTTTAGTCCTTGAAAATGTTGAAAATAAATAATGTGTCCCTGCCTTCTTCCTACGGTTTTCATTTTTTAAAAATGAATATAGTAAAGTATTACCAATGACCAGGACTTACTCCACCCCTTCCAAGAACCATGTAAAAGCACTTACACCACATAAATTGGTAAGAGTCATTTGTAAAAAAAAAAATAAAAAAAAAAAGAAAGAAAGAAAGAAAGAAAAAGAAATAAAAACAAACAAACAAACAAACACGGATCCCTTGTAAAACGTTAAGAAGTGGTTCATTCATAAGTGATTAGCCCCACCCCGCCCCCATTCCCGAGGTATAGATTGGGGGGGGGGGGTAAATTGTATTTTTTTTCTTTTGGCAGAAAGGGGCGGGGGGGGGGGGGTCAGAAATTTATTTATGTTTTCATTCTTAATAAAATACAGCTAGACAGGTTTAATATTAATTTTTCTGCTACAAGGTTCAATCTAAATGTATCTCAGTCTAGAGAAATGATAAACTGTTAACTTTAAATATGATTGAGAGAATTTGTATACATTTCTATGCAACCCCCCCCCCCCCCCAAAAAAAAAAAAAAATGAAAGTATAATTTTGACTGGTCGACAGGAATCAAACAATACATGTTTATTATTGGCCTTAACAATTTTTTTGGGTTAAAAAAAATATTACCGAAACAAGTGCCTGTTGGTGTTGGTGAGGGTTGTAGCGCTTATCAAGGATAGATTACCAGGGGGTATTTATTTTCCTGTCAGTCGAGGAAAGATTATTTATTTTCAACATTTTCAAGAACAGATTATTAGTTTCTAAAATCTGTCAAACACCCCCCCCCCCCCTAAATCAAATGGTCCTCCCTTTAATGACAGGCATCAACTTACATCACATCATTCAATATAAACTTGATACACCTGTACTTTGTTGTTGCCAAGCCTATTTTTTATCCAACTTTCAACTTCCAGTTTTGTACGATCATGTAAATGTAGCTTGACTTTAATTATTTAGGTAAAATCAAAAGCCTACTTCTCTCACATTTATTTATAATTCAGTTTTTTTTTTCACATTCGAAACACTGCCTTCCCAGGCTGTTATTCATTGAAATATATCACTGTGACTGAGACACTGTACCTCTTCTTACAACCAATTCAATATAATTCTAATATCTTAAGTTTATCATGTTTATCTCTTTATTCTCATTTTGAAACTCCTAAGACCGTGAGGCTTAGGCTTCAATATCATGAATGTGTACAGAGGTGATTTCTTGTACCATGTGATCTTGTACATTTCGCCATTGTTCACACATCAAAATTACTCTTTTGCATCCAGGAAAAAAAACAAAGAGGTTAAAATTTATATGCACATTGAATAAACAGAAAAAAAAACATTTGATTTTACTTGAAATCCAGGATATATGTTGACAATGTAAACAACTTCCAGTCAGTTTTGTCCAATGATTTTTTTATCTCTCACACTAAAGAGCTCACAATTATCAAAGGGAGATAATTCAATTTTTAAATGAATGTCTGCTTTTTTAATCATAGATTTCTCATATTTATAGACTGAATACCAACAATGTTTTTAATTGCGTTTTAAAATCAGATGTACTACTTTTTATTTCTGTGAGTAACACGAATTGAAGTAGCCGCATTTCATTGTATGACATTCCCCAAAATTGCATTTTTTCCAGAAAAAAAACGACTTTAAACACCGTTTCCATGGTAACTACTCAACATTCATATGATCTAACAATATTTTTTGGAGTAGTTTATGAGGTGGTAAATTCTAGCCAAATTTGAAAAAAAAATCTGTGACTATGCGTGCCACAAAAGTTTAAGTGGTTACAGAGAATGGCTATTAAATTTCAAAGTATTTCGTCAAAAAACAAGAAGGTTATTGAGTTTTTTGTGTCAGCCAATCAAAGCGATGCACACGTTCATTCGCACTTGCTAATTCAACCACCTCATCTTGTCTAAACCACTAATATATGTTTATATAATAAGGCTCAAAGCATATCATCAGGAAATAGGAAGGTTAAAGCTTTCTCAGTTGTATCAGTCATTTCACTTCTCGCACGCGCACCCACCTGCATGAAAATGCGCGCAAAATGACCTTCGTTCCGCGCATCTACACAATATGCCTATTAACTCTCAAAAGGTTTCATCTCTATCAGAGGAGTAGTTTCAGAGAAAAAAGTACCTTCGTTTGGGGAACATAATTAATTATGTTCCAATTCTTTATAAGGTTCTATATAGCTACAGCTTGAGTATTTTGAATTTTGTCAGTGTATACTTTTTATCTGTCACCAAGTTTTAATGGGCAAAGTGGTTCTTGGTCGAATGGAAAAATTACAGTACGTGTTATTATAAAAACGAAGAATATTGTAGTGTTTTATACGGTAACAACGTATCTTCATTTAAGAAATGGAAAGATTTATGTTTAATCAAAGTGTGTGTGCGGGTGGGGATGTCTTCTAAAACTAGCACTAGTCTATTCTTAGACAATTGCATATTTATAAAGGGACCTATATTTCGAGAGTTATAAGTTAAAACAACTTAATACTCAAGAGTGATTTTTCTCTCTCAGAAGCAATTCTTAAATTAAATTTCATGATAAAAACACTTCCAATAAAAGTTAAAGCAATTAGTAAAACTTTTATTATAGCGTCATTAGGTATCTTTTGTTTAAAGGGGCCTGGACACAGTTGCATAGTATACAACTTTAACGTCTATTTTTTTTTCTCAAAAATAACTTCAGTTTAATGATTTGAACTTACATGAATATGCTAAGAATTGAATGACAACTCTTTTTCTCTCTCTCTGAATAAGATGAGAGATTTTCTATATTTTTTTTAAAATAAAATATATGAACTTAAACTTTACTTTGTTTTAAACCTTGTTTAAAACCTTGTTTACCTTGTTTAAACGTGAAAAAGTACTCTGTACCACTGCTGTAAATAATGACCAGAGTCAACTGAAACAAAAACCGTAATCATATCAAAACATGTTTGTATTAAATGTTGCAAAAAAGATTAAGTGGAGAAGGGAAATCCATTTAAACAAATTTACTCAAAGTATTGGTTTATCTTCAATAGACTAAATTTGATATTTAAATGAGAGTAACAAATTTTGGTCTATACTTATTAGAAATTAGCTGCCTTTTGTTTGTTTAAGGTGCCTACATTTAAGGGTTTTTATATTTAGAATGTAGCTCTGGTACATACGGATATCTCTGTGACAAGATGTGCGATAACTGCCTCGAAAACCAGTGCGACAGAATCACGGGAGTTTGCATAAAAGGCTGCAATGATAATAGGTATGGAGACATGTGTGATAAAGAGTGTCCTGCTAAATGTGGAAATTCTTGTGACAGATACTTGGGATGTACGAATTGCTCCCCTGGATTTACTGGGGCTAGCTGTACAAAATGTATGGACGGCACTTTTGGTAAAAACTGTGGTTTTACATGTACAAATTGCCGTCTGGAATTTTGTGACAATATTGAAGGATGCCAGCAATGTTTAAGGGGCTTTTATGGACCCAATTGTAATAACTCTTGTCCAGATCATTGTAGGAATAGTGAATGTAACAAAACTTCAGGATTTTGTTCAGTTGGATGTGAAGACGGTTTTATGGGTTCAAATTGCGAAATACCTTGCAGAAGTAATTGTGTCACTTGCGTTTCAATTGTTTTATGTTCATCGTGTATCGATGGAAGGTATGGTCAACAATGCGAATTATCATGTTCAGAAACATGTGGCGGAAAACAGACTTGCGATAAAGAAAGTGGCCGGTGTGATGAATGTATGGATGGAAAATATGGAAAAACTTGCACAAAACTTTGTAGCAATAATTGCAAATCAAGCATGTGTCAAAGGGATGGGGACTGTATTGATGGATGTAATGAAGGATGGTTAGGTCTGAATTGCAGTATGAAATGTACCGAAAATTATTGTTTAGAATGTATTCTGTCTGGTTCAACAGTTTCGTGTAATAAATGTGAGGAAGGTTACTATCTAGGCAATCAGGATAAGTGCCAGATATGTCCATCTAATTGTTTATCTTGTGAGAATAAATCGAAATGTACCCGATGTAAAACAAAGTTTACTGGACCTTTGTGCGACAAGGACTGTAACAGAAATTGCATTGATCATGTATGTGAAACAGATGGTGTTTGTACATATGGGTGTAATAATAGAAAGCATGGGGTAGAATGTTCTAGTGAATGTAGAGCGAATTGTGAACATTGCTATGATTACAACAACTGTACACAATGTTCACCTGGATATTACGGATTGTATTGTTCGTCTTGTTATCAAAACTGTTATAACTGTACTTCAAACCGAGAGTGTTCATCCTGCAAACCTGGATTTCATGGGAAATACTGTCAGTTTCCTTGTTCTCCAGAATGTCTGACCTGTAATGCTTCAGATTTCTGTACCTACTGTAAGGAGGGCTGGTCAGGCAGAACATGTCAATGTAATGTAAATTGTAATGATGAATGTGGTGACAATGGAAAGTGTGTGAATGGATGTAAAAGTTCATTTTACGGTGAATATTGTAATGTATCCTGTCCTGTGGAAAATTGTCAAATATGTGATCAAAAGTTTGGAAATTGTATAAAGTGTAAGGAAGGACGTTATGGAAACCAGTGTGATATGGATTGTAGAAGGACATGTGTTGGATCAGTCTGTGATATCGATGGCAAATGTCTTCAAGGCTGTCAAGAAGGTTTAACTGGAGAAAATTGTGAAATGAGTAAACGTAAGTAGTGCATGAATAATGAATGTGTGAATGTCAACTTCAATATTGAATTGCTTTTGCAATAATTCACATTGCAATACTGTTTATATTATACAAATACTGCATGTAGTTGAGGATAACATTTAAAATTTTCACCCCTCGAAAACCATTGTCAACCTAGGCGCAGCATTTATTATATTATACTGAATGTTTTATACAAATACATGTACATATAACACTGATCCGCGCGGTTTTTGTTTTTGGAATACCACCCGTCGTCAAGCAGTGTTGACTACTGAGTATTGCTACGCTGGAGAGCGTGGTTTCATCATTCAGAGGGTAATATTGTTTTTCAACAAATGTTTCTCGACGAGTCAGATTCATCTAATTTACTTGAAAGTATAATATAATAAGTTATCATATTTTTTTTTATAGAGACAAAGGATATTGCCGAGGCTCCGTTGTACGTATTTGTGTTGATAGGGGGAGCTCTTTTGGTCTCGCTTGTTTTGATTCTTGATTGTCTTACGAAGGTTATTCTCTCTCTCTCTCTCTCTCCCTCTCTCAAATTTTCAGTTTGTTAGTATTACCTGTATATGACACTCCACTAAATAATAATAATAATGCTGAATCTCAGGAACTTGCAGAAAAACAAAAAGGCTTGTTGCCTCCTGTGGAAAAAGTTATGAGACTGACTGAGTTTTTAAACGAGGAGGATCGGATCTATGCCAATGGTCGATATTTATATAATCTACCTAAAATCATATTTTTTTTTACATTTGTATTCACTATTCTTTACAATTTATTTAAAATATAATTATAGAAAATGAACAGAACGATAGTCCACAAACTCAGAGACGATCATTGTATACGGAGATCTCACCATACAACCTCCGTGGATCTCAAGCATACCTGATCGAACTCGATCCTAATGACGTTGATGATGTCGATGTACCTACACCTGTTGAATCAGACTATTATAATGTGAAGATAACTCTTGTCCCAGTAGATAAACTTTGGGAAAATGTTCAGGAAAAAAATCCAGAGGAGAACTTAACAAGGAATTTGAGATTATTTTGTAATAATTGTTGTTTTAAATTACTGAGTAAGAGAAAATATAATTGTTGATTTTAAAGCATCATATTAAAATCATCTCTTTTTGTGTAAAGAGCATACCAAATGGTCTCTTAGAGCCATGCAAAGAGGCTTTGAAACCCCAAAACCGGTCTCGAAACAGATACAAGAAAATGTATCCCTGTAAGTCGACTTCTGTCATCAAATTAAATCTCAATTTTACAGTATTATAAGTGATACAAACATCGTTTAATTAATATTTAATACGACTCAACCCGAGAAATTCTACAAGTGGAAAAGGGCACAGAAAATAAAGATTTTATCAATGCTTGTTTTGTGCATGTATGTTTGTTCTCTTTGAAAGAAAAATGTACTTTTTTGGCGTATTTTCTAATTAGCATTTTCTGTACAAAAATGATGAAACTTTTCTTCAAAATAACCATTATTGATTATACCACCACAATGAATGTGTGGAGTGAGATATCTGGAGTCACTGTGTCCGTCCGTCTATCTATCTTTCAGTCTGTGTGTTTGTAGACGGAAGTTTATGCTCAGCCTTTATGCCGTGTGCCAATATATTTCAGACAAAACTTTCAATACTGTTGCCTCCAGGACTTCAGTGTTAAACTTAAGAATCAAATGAGATTGTCTGACCTATATACTAACCTTGCAAATGATACGTTATACTCTAGATGACGCATTTAATTGTATGATCAGGCTCTGCGCTGCACAAAGGTCTCGTCTATGTTTACTAAAAATTAAATGGTGCATTTGGTCCGACTTGCTGATATGATGCATCTTTGAGCGAATAGTCTTATGCATTCTTAGGATTCTCCATTAGACCAATATTTTACGATTCACCACAGCGTCTTAAGAAAGTATTAACAAAAACTGGTACATACATATATAGTATGCTCTAGTACCAAAATTCAGAGATTGGTTCTAATAGTCTTTTAAATGTTTATGAAAGTTACTACAGTTTTACCTTTATTGCAGATGAAATGCAAATGGTATTGGCCAGACAAAGAAGAATCATATGGTCATTTTCATGTCAAATTGGTAAAAGAAGATATCACAGCTGATTATACTACTCGAGCTTCTATTCTTTCAGCGGTAAATTTTAGCATTATCATGTACTTTCAACATAGCTTTTCTAACATTTTGGACAAACTATTAGAATAAAACATTTGCTAATATTACAATAGGGAAAGAAATTTCTGTTTTAATATTCGAATCATTGTTAATTCTTCTTTCGATGAAAGGAAATTTTGGAATAGAAAGCTATCTTCAGAGTCTGATTTATTTAAAACAGAAAATTCCTTTGGAAATGTAAAAAAAGATAATCCATTCTATGCAAAGTACATGTATGTCATCAGAAATTCTTTTTCTTTCGTAGAGGTGGATGCTATAATCAAATCCATCATTTTAATGGCGAAATTTGCTAGTAAAACATTTTCATCTTAGAACGGGAACAGAAAGGTCATTACACAGTTCCACTTTATGTACGCAAAATTATATCTGTCCTTTTCAGACACCCCTCTTTGATTGTACAGCTTGTTTATCATCAGTGTTTCCTTTTGTGTTAATGACTAGACAACGTAAGAAGCATATGTACATTGTATTAACTGCAGCAGGTTTCATTTTAAGCAACAATACATGCTCTTCGTAAAGCGATTATTTATGATCAGTGCCAAAATATCATTTCATTTATGTTTTATAATTGAAAAGACAAATATCAATTATCAATGTTAATTAGCACATGACCTTTTGATGTGCTACATATCTATCAAATAAGTACGTGATCAGTAATTTGTAGAATTATTTACAGTTGTACGCTATAGAATAAAACACACACACACACACCACCCTCACACACACACACACCCTCACACACACACACAGAGCAGTGCATACAGCCTAAAAAATCTTCAGAATTTGAACAATAAGAATTAGATTTTCCTAAAAAAAAATTAAAAAAAAAAACTATAGAAAACAATCAAAAGCATTTTATTTTTTTCTCAGAAGAGGCTTGCAATTTTTTTTTTAAATTTCATTACTGTCGTTCCTGATATTTATATCATTCTGTCCAATAAAAATCATCAGTATGAGCAACAAGACATGTAGAATTTTTTTTCTTTTCACAAACTAAACTATCAGAAAAAGACAGCACCAGCAAAAACAAAATAATTTTTATCTTATCCTTAAGAACCATTTTCACATTGGATCAGTATCTTAAAATGGAAACAAAATGTAGATCATGAGTCCTTTTTTTGTCTGCAGAAGTACAGATTTGCCTGTCATCTTTATAATTGATATAGTTGCATTTAAAAATACACAATTCAAATTAAAAACGTCACTGTTATCTCAATATTAGTATATAACAAACTCCGGATAAGAACACTTCTTTTCCTTGTATTAAGGATATTTGCCTCTTCGTGTACTTGTTTTTTTCTATTTAACTGGAGTGTTTCATTTCTAATTACGCATTTGTTGTACGGAAGGAAGGCACGGAGTCACAGATAATGCAAATCATCTTTTGTCATCTTTCTTGCCACATTTAAATTGAGAAAAAGGTCAAATAAACTTATCGAGGCATTTTGTTGAATTTACAGTCGCAAGCAAATTATTTAATGACATTTAATATCATTTATTTATTTGTTGGTAGTGGTAAATAACCACACTAACGACTAATCCAGAATTCTAGGAAGATAAAAAGTAGTAAAAAAAGAACTATATGTTTTGACCAAAAAAGGAAAATGAAAATATATATAGCTAAGTTTTTTCACTGTTTTAGTGCAGGGGTTGGTCGCACGGGGACGTTTATTTCCTGATAAAACAGGGAGAGTAAGAAAGAAATGTTGACGTCATCGATTGTGTGGCCCGGATGCGTCAACAAAGGGTGCAGACAGTGGTAAATTATGAACCTCCAACCTTTTCCATTTCAAATTAAAACACAAAAAATTATAGGATGTTTTACTAATTATAGTGATAAATAAAACCAAAAATATATTTTTTAAATCCTTTAAATCCTCAGAGAAAATTTTAAAGAAAATTTCTCTATCACTTTGCATGATTAGCTAATTTTTTTCTGCACAAATCTAAAACTTCTGATACAATGCACTAATAAGAAAGATATATTTATAAATGTATTATTGAATCCTTAAACAGATACATACATTAAATCAGAATTTAGAAATATGGGGAAAAATGCGGACTTATTTGTTGAAAAAAAAGTATTTGGAACATTCTTTAAAATTTACAACCGCATAACATATGTAATAAGGTTATTTGCAAGACAAATGTGTTTCTCTGGGTGTATTTTCTAGTATGTCCACAAGTGAGCTTTCAATAACGTCAAGAAGTGCCTTTTCTTGAAAACGTTTTCAAACTTTTACTTGTATTTTTTAAAATTTTATTTTGTAAGAGGATGACAGCGTATTTTCCTTTCTTGATATTTATATGCAGCAAATTAAGATGCAGAAACAGGAAGATTTGTGAGCTTAACAAACTAACTGCACTTGAAAGACAATATCCGATGAAAATGTAAATTTAAGTGAGGGAAAAGCACAAATACTTAAATAATCTCTTTCTTCCTCAAGTATTACAACGTACAAACGACGAAATCACTTGTACCCTACATACATGTACACCAATTAATAATGAACAGACTGATGATTTAAATGTTTCACTACACACTTGTAAAGTTGTATTTTTAGCTCACCTGAACCAAAGGCTCAAGAGAGGTTGATGATCGAGATCTGTCCGTTGTCTGTCAGCGTTGTCGTCGTCGTTGTCGTCATTGTCGTAAACTTTGCATATTTTGATCTTCTCCAGAACAGCTGGACCAATTTCAACCAAATTTGCCACAAAGCATCCTTAAGTGAAGGGGACTCAAATTTGTTCAAATGAAGGGCCAAGCCTCCTTTCAAGGGGTATCATTTAAGAATTAGTGAAAATCTAATGCCAGCTTTCAAAACTATTCTTCCCAAGAACCACTGGGCCAGAAAAGATGAAACTTTTTTGAAAGCTTCATCGCATAGTGTAGGTGTAAGTTTGTTTAAATCATGACTTTTGGGGGCTGGTGGGGTTTTACATAGGAATATTTAAGAAAAAATCTTTAAATATCTTCTTCTTATGAACAACCGAGCCGGAGAAGATAAAAAAATATATGAGCTTAATTATATACGTAGATTCAGGTTTGTTCAAATCATGAACCCCGGAGGTAGGTTTGGGGCCACAATGGACGATCAAATTTCACAGAGGAAATTCAATATAAAGGATACAATCTTTAAAATCTTCTCAAGAACAGCAAAGGCATAACTAATCATATTGAAATGGAAGAATTCGCATGTAAAGTAGATTCTTTGTTCAAATCATGCCCTCCATGGATAGGGTGAGGCAACAATATAGGGAAAAAATTCTAAAATCTTCTCAAGAATACCAAAGGCAAGATAAGTCATATTGATAGGAAGCATCCTCAGGTAGAGTAGATTCAAATTTGTTTAAATCATGACCCCCATGGGGCCACAGTGGACGATCAAAATTTTACATACGAAATACAATATAAAGGATTCATACTTTATAAATCTTCTTTTCAAGAACATCAGAGGCATGATTAGTCATATTGACATTAAAGTATCCTCAGGTAGTGCAGATTCAGGTTTTGTTCACATCATGACTCCCGATAAAAGGGTGGGGCCACGATAGGCGATTAAGTTTTACAAGGAAATATATAGTGAATAAATCTTCTTAATATGAAGAACAACAGCACCATATAATGACTCAGGTGAGCGTTGTGGCCCATGGGCCTCTTGTTAATTATGTTATTGGATGCGAAATATTTTATACAGACCAGAAAACTGAGCAGTAATGAATAAGTGTCAATGAAAACGATTAATGTTAAATTAAAGCTGATCTACAGATAAAAATATATTTAAAACGCCACAAAAATCGGTGACGTTTGAAATAAAATCTTTAATTGAAATATTTTTTTAAATTTTTGTTTTAAGTCTTTACCCCTCATTAATACATGTTGGAGCAGTACGTATTCTTGCACGATGCCCTGGTTGAGGCTCTTACAGAAGGAAAAGGTGTTGTGACGGCCGTCGAGTTTCCTGAGTATTACAAATGTTTAAAACAACTATATCATTCTACTAAAAAAGAGTGGATTGTGGGAACAATTCCAGGTTGTAAAAATAATTTAGTATTTGTTAAATGCCGTAGAATATTGATGAACTCAAAGATAAAGAATGATCTAACTTTTTGTCATAAACCATGAATATCTCAAGATCAAGAGTGCCTTTCAATTTTTCCCTTTAAAACTACTTGCATTATCTTGAATTTGGGGGGGGGGGGTACATTTCTTTTTGTATATGTTTTATGAATATGTGTTTAATAGAAAATATGAGAGGGCAATTTTAAGTGCATTTTTTTCAATAAGATTAAAATCTTTCCTTTTCAGCTTATCAACAAACTATCGCCAGTTTTTGATGACAGAAATTTTCAAACAGCTAAACTCAAGGAGAATAGATGTAAAAATAGATATACCAATGCCTTTGCAAGTAGGTTCTATATGAAAGTCGGATACTATTGTTATGACATAATGTTTAAAATCAATCTTAGAAAATATAAGTGACAACAAAAGTGTTTTTGCAAAAATCTCTTATGTTCATTTGCTGAAAATGTTAATTTCATTCGTTGAGTCAAATTTAATCAACTAAAAAGAAACCCAAAATAAACAATGATTAAAAATTAACAAAAGAAGTGGACAAAATGAAAATAAAGCACGTTATTTGATAAACACACATATCTTTGAAAGTATAATTATCTGTAATTGTACGTGTATTTACGTCAAAATTGCATTGTAGGTGACAACTACCGGTATAGAACATTTATCTTAAGTGGTGACAATAATTACATTAATGCTATACAAACACCGGTAATTCTCTTTTCATTAATCCATTTCCTGTGAAAATCTCTAATTAATGCTTAATTTCACAATCCGATATATATTGACTCATTTATCAATTTTAATATCATTTCATAGCCAAAAAGTACTCTATTCACTTAAGCAAACAATACATCTGTACAATTAATAGAAGAATAAAATTAAAATGTACACTTGTTTAATAACTGTTTACGATATTTTGGAATTAAGACAAATTCAAGCTGATTTTAAATTAAGGACTACAAGCGTAGGAATTCATTTGCTCTCACACAAATGCCTTTGACCAACAAGGTCCAGGATTTCTGGTTTCTTGTCTTGGAACAAGATGTGTCCACAATAGTCATGATGAATTCTTTCAAGAATGATAAGGTAAAAAAAGTTCAGATTCCACTCGGAGTTTATTGATGATAAAAAAAACACAGATAGCTCTCTCATATTTTATCTAAATGGCAATTCACATCGCTTTCCAAATAAATTTGTGACAAGTTAAAAGTGTACGTTCAACACTGTTCTGTGTCGTCTGATCAGAGTATGGGAATCTACTGGCCAGTGGATAAAGACGAAGTGACATTTGGACCAATCACCGTCAAGCTTCTGGAGAGGGAGGCTGGGAACGCTCCCTATGGTGTTCTCAAAATGAAGGTGTTAAATGTCAAGGTAACCCTGAGAAGTTTGTATTGTGTACTTACTTGTACACTATAATAATTTCTTAATCCCACAGTAATGTAAGGTTTCATGTATATTAACATATTATTACAATTCCTTACTGAAAAAAAAAAAATTCTTCTCTTTCCTTTATTTTCTTCATGAAGTCTGAATCAGTGCTTGATTCTGATTAACTTAATATATCAGCAGTGGTTCGTTGTAAATTTGATCTGCCAATTTACAACATGTATTATTTTTTTGTATTTTATGTAGACCCAAGAAGAGAGAATTGTGAAACAGTTCTAGTGTAAGTTTTGGTCAGAAGATGCTGTCAGACCTGAAAGACCCGAGCCAATGCTAGAGATGATATAAGAAATAAGTGCTTGGCAGAAACAAGTCAATGACCCTGTTATTGTGGTTCATTGCATGTATGTTTCTTAGTAAACTTACATACCGATGATAGAAAAATGAATGCACGGCAGCTGTATGTAGAAACAACTCTGTTTTTATAGTTCATTGCATGTATTTCTTAGTAAACTTATAAAAGTTATAGATGTTACAGTGCGGTTGTTAAGTAAATCCCAAATGTTCTTTAGAATAGTCATTTATTTCTCAAATCAGATCGCTACAGGCATATAGTACGTATGTTTGAGAAAGCTAATAATCAAGATGCTATTTTTATCAAATCAATTTACACCATATGATTATTAGTCATATAAGTATTACATAGAAATATAATGTTTGTAATTAAACATCAACAAACCGACTTTTGAACTTTTAGAACTCTATGTTTTAGGAATGGGCCAAAGAATAGTGGTCTATTTTGTACAGTTGCCACCATCATTGAGAGACTGCGCACTGAACAGGAAGTCAGAGTTCTGCAGACGGTGATACAAATGAAAACTCGCGCTCTCAAATCGTGCCCAGCCTGGTATGTTGTCTGTCAGTCACTTCATTGGAACCCGAGGAATTTTCATTTGAATTAAATAATTGATTCATTTATGACATTTAATTGTTCTTTATACCATGATTGACATTTTTAAAATAACTTTATGATTGAACTCTGTTTAATTACATTTCATTATTTAATATTTCTTTTATTTTAGGAGCAGTTGGTTTTCTGTTATGTTGCTGTACAAACATATACTGATATGTCTAATACATATATGAATATATGAACTTACCTTAAACAAGTCCTGTCGAAATAATATGGAACCGCATCCTGTTTGTATTAAGGGTGTTCATATGAATGTCCATTTTTAGAGGGAAAAAATAAAATATGTAAATATAAAAATATAAAAGTATAAAAAGAATAGTTTATTTCTACATATTTGTATATATGCAGTATACAAAGAGTTTTTTAAAATTTTGAAATATCAAGAGAGACAACTGCATGATTTTTTAAGAATTGAATTTGAATTATTTGATTAGTCCGTTATTTTTATATTTATGCATTATATTTCCAATTTATTGTTTTAAATTGTATTTTCAAATATTGTGCATTTTTGATTGATCATCTTTCCTGTTCATTTAGATATATTTAGCTATATTTTTACAAATGACAAAATCATTTTCAAATGTAAATTTACATTATTATTAATTTCGATTACTGGAACTATAACTATTATCACTAACTTAAGTAGAAAAACAATTGCAATTTCAGAATCCCTGCTGATTTTTACACATTCGTATTGTGCATTTCATGAATTGAGTTTTTTTTTATTTGTACATTTCTTCAACAATAGCTATTCATCTCCAAAAGAATTCATTAAAGGCATCGACTTGGTTAAAGCTATTGATTAATTCTTGCTACATATAGTGCTGGAGTCATTTCCGTCAATTCTGAGACAACGCTGAGTATTGATCGTAACTCATTGTGTTCAAATGGAGTAAACAGAAAACATGGCGCATGGCAGTATTTCCCTTGGTACTGCTGTCCATTATAATTTTACAGTTAATTGATGCATCGCAAAATTTGCAATTTTGCTCCTTTTTCGGCAACAGGGGACCGAAACCTCAGTCAAATTTAAGGAATTGTACTTAGTTTCAGTTAAATTCATGCTGTATGCAGGAGGAAATTGATGCTACTTTTGGGAAAGTGAAACCATTAATCGGCGCTTCTGTAGCCTGTCAAAGATATACTAACTACCTTATGCGCACCCTACCAAAACAGATTTTACATGTTTGAAAGACTGACAGTGTGTGAAGAATTCTGTAACGATTGGTTTGAAGCTTGTGGGTCGGCCACACTGAAAGGCGTCGTTATTAAGGATTTATATAAAGGCGTCGTTATTAAGGATTTATATAATAAGATTTATTGATTTAACAATAAAGCCATTTATTTTAGCATTTAATCATTATTCTGTCTTAATTCCGGAAATTCTGTCCACAAATAGTGTACTTCCGTTTCCCTTCATCTGACAAAGCGATCAACCACGAAAAGCAGAAGAAATTTTTTTTTCCTTCAATCCAGAAGAATCGCAGGGCAAATCACCAAAATAATGCCGAAAATTAAAAAATCTAAACGGATTGCGGAAAAGAGGTTAAGAAGCGTAGAAAAGGTGAAAGACCAGCCTGTGAAAAGCACTGTCAACGGAGGCGAGGGCACCATGACCCAAACTGACTCTTGCCCAGTGGTGGAATCTCCAGAGGCGCTAAATGATCCTGGACAAGTAAAAGAAGCAGGTACAGTAAAATCCCTCGGAATATTGAATGAACATTCAGATGTCCCGAAGATGATTGTTAGTTATGAAAACCCGTTGGGGTTAAATGTGTCGCAAGAGGTAAAAACAAAATCATTAACGGTCAATATATCGACCTAGCAAAACTGCTAGTAAATGCAAATGATATTAAAAAAAACAAGCAATTGTCATGATAAATGGTGAGCTTCAAACAAACGATAAAAACATAAAAAAATCAACAATATACAGCAATGGACAGACGCGTTCATCATTTATTCAAACATATATTTAGAGGCCCATCCGACCAAGACTCTAGACTTGTTAAAGTATATGAAAGACGTTCGCTTAGCAGCAGCAAGGTCACCAGGTTTAGGGTTTATGGAGTATGATCAGCAATTCAGATTAAAAATGGCTAAAAATCCATCAGGAACCTGGGGGGGGGGGGGGGAGTTGACCCTGAGTTATGGTTACTATACATCACACCTAGCTCTAAATTCATGACTGCTGAGACGCAAAACCAGAGTCAGATTAGAAAATGTTATACATACAATTACCAAGGATCTTGTTTCAAGGCACCTTGTAGTTATGCCCATTTTTGTCTCAAATGCAATGCCCCACATCCAATAATATTTTGCTCAAAGAAAGAACAAAATCATTCTTCTAAAGATCATGCATTTCGAGGCCAAAATAACTACAGGGGCACACGAGGACAGTATCAAAATATGGGGGGGAAGAGGGGGATCCCAGTACAAATGGAATAGAGGAAGCAACTAATAACATCTGGAAGCTAGGCTATATCCCAATCAAAGTTCAAAATTTAAAACCACTTTTAAAAGGCTATCCAGAAAAGGGGGTTGCTAATCAATTATTAGAAGGTTTTCAGTTTGGTTTTAGAATTGGTTGTCAGGGTCCAAGATTAGGAGGCGAATCAAAAAATCTTAAATCAGTTCTGCAATTTCCAGATAAGGCAAAAGAAAAAAATAAATAGTGAAGTAAAATTAGGTAGAATTGCAGGCCCATTTTTTAACAAACCAATATCTAATTTCAAAATTTCACCAATAGGTATAGTTCCCAAATCAGAAGGAAGCTGGAGGTTAATAACACATCTTTCCTATCCAGAAAACAATAGTGTGAATCATTTTATAGATCCTTATGAATGCTCAGTAGCATACACCTCATTGGACCAGGTGTTGCAGCTAGGCAGTTGCTCGTTTAGGGAAAGGTACCTTCTTGGCAAAAATGGATATAAAATCAGCATTTAGATTAATGATAATAAATCCAGGAGACTTTGACTTGCTAGATTTTAAGTTTGAAGGAAGCTATTACATTGATAAATGTCTGCCAATGGGTTGTGTCATGTCATGTAAGTTGTTTGAAAAGTTTTCAACATTTTTACACTGGGAATTGCAGAGACGGGTTGGAATCGATACAATTTTTCATTATTTAGACGATTTCCTTTTTTTGGGCTCCTCAGGTTCTGAGAAGTGTGCTCGTTTGATGCAAGGGTTTAAAAATTTGTGCGAAGAAATTGGAGTTCCCATAGCACAAGAAAAAACAGTAGGCCCCTGTAAAAAAATTATTTTCTTGGGATTAGAAATAGATACACAGGAAATGGTGGTAAGAATACCAGAGGAAAAAGTCAAATATTAACAGCCTTACTTACAGC